ATGGGAGGAGTTCAAAATACCAAGTAAACACACACACACATATATGTGTGTAGATTCACAATTCAGAATTACAATATAGATGTTGTAGTTAATATTTGATATTTAAATGTTTCAAAATTAATTTCAATAAAAATTTAAAACATAAACTTCAACTTCTTACAGTTTATTAAAAATTGTTATGTAGAATTATTATTATTACGTTTTTGTATTCAGCTTTTCACAATATATTTATTTTGACATTTTGATATTTGAACCTTACATTTTTTTTTCTACAACGTACAGCTATTCAGGATTTACGATGTTGGCTTGTATACTTCTAATTGTATAGACTGTCACACTAGTCTCCAAAACAGAGTTACCTTTTACGTAGAGCCGTAGCTAAGGTAGGACGGGAGGGGCAGTTGCCCAGGGCGCAGTCCGAACGCTAAGCCTATTATTCAATAATTTATGCAGAATTATACAGACTGGAAACTTGCGAAAAACGACTGGCTATGGCTCTGCCTTTATGTTTCTAAAATAAATTTGTGTGAATTCTGTCGTCCTGTTGTAATATATAGAAAATACTTCAAAGTGTAGTTTAGGTTATAAACCATTTAGAATGATACAGATAATATTCACTTGAAGACTAGACTTACGGCACAATTATCTGATTTTGTTTTTCCTAATGAAGCATGTCCAAAGTAATCCTCTAACTGCTAAATTCGTGGATTTACTTTAGATTCTCCAATAAAAATAGGCCATAAAACTACTAAAACGTGTGAAATTCTGTGGCAGTAAGTTAGTATAACTGTCTGGTCATTGAGCAGATGGAATGACCATCATGAAATTGCTGATAAACAACAAAATAAATGCGTAAGATAACAAAGCAGATAATTTTAAGAGTAAAGATGGCTTGTTCGTTTCAGAATATAATTATACAGTTTTTAAATGTTCTTACAATATTTCAAAAATTCCTGTGATATTATACATACGTTCTTTTGTCTATTTTGTTGTTGTTGTTTTTTCAAGTATCGGTAATAATTTTATTATCTTGATACGAGATATAAATAGAGGAAACAACCTTTAAACTTCCTAGAATTTCAAGTCAAATGCTCTGCAGCTCCATCAGATTATATATTTTACGATGATCTTTGAACTTTAATTATTTTCTCTACCATGCGACAGATTGACCCAAGATGTGCTGTCACTCAGTGGTCAGAATGGTCTCCCTGTACTGTCACCTGCGGTAAGGGCATGAAGGTCCGCACGCGGCTCTACATTAGTCCAGCAGCTATAAATATATGCAACCTTGAACTGATGGAAAAGACTCCCTGCATGTCTGACAGGCTAGATTGTACACTTCATTTTTCCGATGCAAAAGGTAAGGCATGGTCTATTTTCAACCTTCACTAATTCATGTTAAATATATACTTCTAAAGAAAATTCGGTTATCCTAATGGCATCGGTATAATGTAACAGTACATACGCCTCAGTACACAGATTACAACGTCATTTCATAGAATATCCAGAAATAACTTGTGACATTGTTGGGCTTCTTAAGTCAGACATTTTAACAAACAACACACGATGGAAGGAAAAGTTTTATTCACAAAACCCACACGTACATAAGTAATTTTGGTAAAGGTCGTAATTCTGTTTTCCTCTCAGCCAAGACTGCGTTTTTTTTCAATTCTACTCCATTTATCCGACAATATTTATTGGTAGCGGCTCTTCCTGTTCCTTGCTTCTAAGACTCGCCTGGCCCACTCTTCACACCAAAATATATTGTGAATGTTTATTCATAAATGTGCACACAGTTTCTGCATATGTTTTAGCGCCCTGTTTTACTGATAATTATTGTTGTTGTTTTTTCTTAATTTCAATTAATCTATTGTGTACTCCAACTATCTGACAATATTTATTGGATGTCCATGTTTCTTGTGTCTGTACTGATGTATATGCTAGTCATCATGGCCATGTCGATACTTTCGAACCAAAAAAGTAATTATTGAATCTTTTGAAGAGAGAGAAGTAATCGGCAGTAGTGAATTAATTTCTTTTATTATGTTCTTTTTTTCATTGTGAGGATTATTTTTCATTATTAGCTTAGTATATGGATTTAGAACTAACCTAAAGTTTCTAAGCTGGCTGACCCTATAAGATATTATTGGGATTATTGCCGAAAATATCGCCAATAGCGGTAGTACACAACTGACGAATCGTTGCATTCTAATTATTACAAGTTGTTTTATGACACTAAACACTCGTAGTTAAACCTGTATAATTGGTTAATTTTTGATTCAGATTGATATAGCAGGGCCGCTGAGAGCCATCATGGATTCCGGAGTAGAATCGACACGTGCCCCCGAATAGTTTTTAGAATGATGCTTCTTACACAATATAAGTGATTGAAGGTGCGGTTAAAGTTCACATAAACGTTCCATATTGATTTGATACATTCCGTACATATTTTCCTACTCTCATGGGCTGCCTGGTGGCTAGAGGGCTCCGAGGAAATACCCCCAGTTTCCCCACCTTCTCAGTGGGCCTGTATGATATAAGTAGTTTACGTTGCTTAGTAATAATGAAACTAGAAACACCAATAATGTTTCACTCTACATTATCACTCATCTTCGAACACAGTGTTTGTAAACACAGGTTAAAACAAAACAGCTTTATAAAGATACGTAGCTTGTTAAGAATACAAATAATCAAGGCTGATTGCATTTTATTAGAACACTTTTGAATATGTAATCAACAAGTCATATGACAGACGTAGCCGATAAAAAGTAGAGTGGCATATATCCGAACACTGACATTGTTTGTGTATTCCATAGATAGTGTTATGCCCCCGAAAATTGATCGCTTTTCGGAAGGGTGTGTAACAGCCATTTCCGACGCAAATTATTCCTGTACACAGATCATAAGGATGTGTTCAGATCAAGGATTTAGATTTTCCGAGAGTGAGGTATCCCTGCTCAATGGCATTAGAAAACAAAGGAATATGGATCAACTTGGGGCACCAGAACGACAGGACCATCCAGAAAATTATCTGCAACAAGTCATACCCAACCACACTAACAAAAATATGGTGTATTGTAACAGACGAAAATCCACGAACACAAAGGTCAGTAGCAAAAGCCATCCACGTGTCCCATGAAATCGTAAGCAAAATAATTAAGAAAGATCTCTATCTGAAAACGAGTTCAATAGAGTGTGGGTTCACCAAGATAAGGCTTGCGGTCGTACTACCCGTTTGCAACCGTCATATACTCCAAGCAGCTGGAGAACGAAATGGGTATTCATCTTATTTCATACGAAGACATACGGATCAGGCACCTATAGGTAACACTGTGATCAGACTTTTGAAACAGGTGCTTGTACAAAGCAATCAGAGCGGAGAGGTGTGCTTGGAACATGACAGTCTTACGAAAGAGTCTTTTGACATAGAAGCTACGCTGCAGGGTTATTGTCAACCTGTAAGGTCTTCAGGTAAAGCATGACCGGACGTGTCGAAATCGATTGTAACGACGTGGTGAGGCTCTGAAACTGTTTAAATATAACTTACCAAACACACTATGTATGTGAAATGACACAAAATATAATCATTTGATGTAAAAATATAATAGATAGCTATAGGAGCTGTAAACAACTGGGTTAATGCTTTCTCCTAGTAGCTTGTAATTTCATTACTTTCTAAAAATGCCCCCAGTGGCACAGCGGTATGTTTGCGGACTTACAACGCTATAAACCAGGTTTCGATACCCGTGATGGGCAGAGCACAGATAGCCCTTTGTTTAGCTTTGTGCTCAACTTCAAACAAACACATTTTCTAAAATTTTCTCTATTATTCTTTATTTTTGGAATAATTCCAACTTATTGAATATTTCTCAGTAACAATTAAACAACTTTGTGCTCTTTTGAGGATTTTCAAATAACTTTTTACAGGGTAATATACTATATTATACTATCAGCCTCACAAATATAGATTTTTTTAATCACGACTAGTTTCGACCATAGGTCTACCTAAGGTTTCAGTTAATAGAATACAGCTTTCGTTGTTATATACAGCATTATAAGCATCTACAATAACATCCAAAAATAAGTAGTTTACTTACGAGTAACAGACCAACCACAAAAACCCTCTATGATCATTCTGCTTTTGGTCATCAGTTGGGTATCCTCGCTGTTAGCAGTAGTTACATACAATATCATTGCTATATATATATATATATATATATATAAGAGAGAGAGAGCGCATCGATATATATATAAGCGAAACGAATTTCTTAAAAGCGACTTTAAAGAGAAAATTTGAAGACATTTTTATTTGTGGTTCATTTAGGGTAATAAATTACATTAACTTTATAAGTTGTTTGAAAATGTCTAAGTACTCTGAGAAGGGAAATGCGTTGTTTAGAATTTAAATGGTGTTCTACCCAATGATACTTGACTGTTGTGTGCTCGTTTCTTTAGAGATATGTGAAAGAACTCATGAAATATCCAAAGCTAATTTTTTATTTCCTTGTCATCCTTCTAAACTAATTCCAAAGTGTATCGAACAGGACATTAACTTTAATTTTCTAGTTTAATCTTCACGAATTAATAAGAGATTTATTTTTAAGAGGGGTCTTCTAAGTGATATTATACCAGAGGATCATAAAAAAACAAAACATTTTCTGTCATTGAACATACAGTAGTCCTTTATCTTACTATCAAGATGACCCATTACGAGTGTGTGTGTGTGTTTTAGCATCCATCACCCAGAGATGGCTGGCTCAATTACCGTAATTTTTGTATGATAACTGGAAACTGTCGGACTATGTAAATTGACTTTGTTTTAGGATTTTTGCCTGAAAAAAAAGAGATAAACAAATACCTGAAATAGAGCACATTTTCACTTGTTTTTCAACACCCTTTTACCTTGCATCACCCACAGTTGACTGGTTCGATTACCGTAATTGTTTGTTTGGTAACTGGAGACTGTCCGACGGTGTACATGGGCTATTTTGTTTTAGGATTTGTGTCCGAGAAGAGAAATAAAAAATGCTCTGAAATACGGTATGTTTCCACTTTTTATAGAGTTTTGGTTTTGAATTTAAAGACATAAGTACTGAATCAGTTAAAATAGTCAATTATTACCTTCCACAAAACAAGGTATGCAATTAGCATCTAATGAGGTCATTAAGGATTTGATAACAAAGGAAAGGGAACATTACCTAACAATGTCCTTTATAGACGTTTTTCTCGTGGTGGGTACCCTTAGCTATTAAAAATACATTAAAAGCCGTCATCTGAAACCCGTAGGTGGGTTGCTTCAACAAACTGCCAAATTTTTTGTGGATGAATATGGGAAATTGGGTGTATTGCTTTTACTACAGTCGCGTTATTCACCAAAAAATTATAAACAAGATAACTAAAATAAGTAACAACGTAAATCAATCTGCGAGTAAAGTATGCAGAATATTTGTATGGTCAATATATCGACTATCGACGTAGATGACCAATACAACAAATACTTAACGGTGCTAAAATGTAATCTTATTTTGAAAAATACTTTATGTGCGCTGCCCTACAGACATTTTATCTTTTTTTTTTGTAATGATACTCTGTTAAATGTTGCCCCCAAGTGGTTCAACGGGAAGTCTGAAGGCTTATAACGCTAAAAACCTGGTTTCGATACCCGTAGTTGGCACAGCACTAATAGTCCATTGTTCAACAACAAGCAAACGTACCTGTAAATTGTGCACTGTTCCGTTGTTTAAGTACTCTTCGTACGATGAAACTTGTTCACTATACTAACGTTACTTTATATAATATTTATGATGTTGCTTCACAACGTTAAAAAATAGTTAAAGAGCCCTTGTCTGGATGACACAACGATAGATAAATGAGACGATGAACGTTGATATATTGCATACTGTAGATACAATGGACTACATAACAGCAAAACTAAACAAGGAAGTATTAACTGCAGTCTTAACGACTCTTGTCCGTCCAGTAGCTCTGTTAAAGAAGACCTCGTTGACAGTATACAGAACCAAAAAAAAAGCTAAAATATTAACTTAACACTCCTTAAAAAGGCAGAGTTGCAGTTTAATTTGTTCTGTGTCACCTGAGGTTATCACTAAGGTAGAAAGTGATATGAAACGCCTTCTTTACGGAATCAGATGGAGTTTGAATAAAACGGTTTTTTTTTCATTTATATACAAAAAACAAAAATAAATGTTGACTGCTATATTAATGGTTTTAGTAGCACTAGTTCTAATATTCCAAGATATCATAGTGTAGAGCAAACAATCAAAAATATAATGAAATAGGATGCACCTTCATAAACAGTGTAAAATTGACACCATTAGCTGATGAAAGTACAAAGTCAAAACTTCCTAAACTCAGAGAAGATATAATATAAATCAAACTTAATAAAAAAAAGAACGAAACAAAATGGTTTTCCATTAAAAAACTCAAAAATGTCAATACAATCACTGTTAAAACGTCTGATAAAGGCAAAGGTTTTTCTAGAAATGGCCACTGAAGAATATAATAGCAAAGCAAGAGCTAGATTAATGGTTCAAATGCGTATACTTCTTTAACTACAAATTCTACAAAGCAATACCTAGAAATAAGCTAAAGAAATATAGGCTACTTTTAACAAAGACAAGGTAGATAAAACGTTCTGAAAAACCTTGATACTCTGTCACTCTAGAAGTGCTGTATAGTTCGGCCTGTACAAGTTTCACAAGGAGAATACATCACTATGACCTACTGTATAAAACTGTGACATCCCTTGTGAAAAGTTCTTGGACTTCAGAAAAGATTTTAAACCGGTTTCTGTGTTTTATTCCATCATATCTGAAGAAAAAAAAGCACTTCATATTTCTTAAGCTGTCCACGTGAAATGTTTCGAGATAAACTACTAATGGAATCCATATTATGCACGTGTAATTTATCATCACTGTATACAAACATTCCCACGGAAGAAGGCTTAGATGCTGTGATGGAAGAATTTAAATAAAAACACATGAAGATATTACTCATACTTTTGGTTTAAGCTTAGCAGATGTTAAACAGCTGCTTAATTTTATATTATCAAACAACTTTTTCCTCTTTTAGAATTTATTTTTACCTTCAATGAATACGAGTTGCCATGGAAATGGTCTTGCACTCCCTTTTACCATCGTTTTCTTGCACAAGTCTTGAAACAAAACCTCTCTCTCAAAGCCCTCTAACACGAGTACTTTTTAAAACAAATAAATATAGATGATACTTTTTCTCTTGAACTCAGAAAGTTCTTAGTAAAATGTTTATTTTTACGACTGAATTTCACACAAACATTAAGTTTATCATGAACACGTCATCATAAATAGTACAGTTGCTGTTCAGGGGTATTCGGTTCAAGTTGAGCTCAGATGGTTTTCTGACACACAAGTTGTACAGTAAGCCCGCACATATTGGTATCATTAAAAAAAAACTGTTAATCGCTCAATCGGAATATTTGCAAGCTAGTCGTATCGCCTCTATTAACATTATCGAACGAAGGAGTGTAAGTAAAATTAAATAACGACTTCAGTAAAATGGATACACAGATACCACCATTGATAAAACAAAACATAAACATGGAACGAAACATCCGCCCCGAAATCTAGATTTTACTTTTGCGTTACCATTTGACAATGAAAACCCATAAGTCCTAGAGTTAAAAAAACCTAAAGCGAAGTGGTTTTATTATGAAACTTGCTGAAAAGTCTGGTCCTACACTTAAAACACTTCTAGTAAAATCATCGTTTCACCCTGTCCCCCTTCATGGGTAAAAACTATATTACTTATACTTTAGAACGGTAAATACATGTTAACAAAACGTTGATTATAAACTATCCTGTACGTTGAGTGGACAAAGATGCTAAATTATACAAAAGAAAGAGATTAGTATGAACATTTCGGTTCACACTAAACTTGTTACCAATACGATGAACCTGTCCCTAGTATTACTTTTATAACAGAAATAGTTTCAAAAACTTGTAACTCTGTTAATAGAAAACTAACATAAAGCTTCTTTATCAAGAATGAAAACCAACTCTAAATTATAGATTAACATGATCGTTAACACAATAGTGAATCCTTTCTGGCAGGTAAAATAGTTTTCTTTTCTAGAGATTCTTGAAAAATGCCACATAAATGAACTCATGTTTAGTATAAGTTTTGCCCACTTGACGGAATAGAGGTAAACACAACAGATTGACCATTGTGGTGTTGCGCTTAAACAAGCAAACAAAAGTATAAAAAAGTAAACTTTGTAAATAGATGCCAGGAAAAATTATAAAGTATAAAAATGATATAGCTAGAGATCTTTGATATACGTGAAAAATGTTTAAAACAAGTGCTTCATCTAGCGAGTTATATTGTTGTTTTTTTGTGAATACTAAATATTGTTGGTGAAATATTGTATATTATTGAATTTTTTTTAGGAGGAAAATACATTTTTAAAAATGAAAAATATATTTAATTAATTGACACCCGATGTAAGCCTATAGTCCAAACTATTCATGATTAAAAGATGTTTATTTATGAGGGTTTTTAGGGTAATAATATATGTTATATATTATTGTAGTTACACCGTTTCTTATCTAGATCATCAATAACGTATTCGTTGCAGATAAAGTACCCGTTAATATGTATCTCCAACCTGAAGTGACTACTAATTCTTTTACTTTAAGTTTAACAAAACCAATTGCTAACTTAAAAATTTCTAAAGCTCGTTAAGTAAGTATTAATTCAAGCCTTTAACCTGTGGAAATATGATACGCATATGATCTTAAACAATTAGCTGACAAATAAAACCATTTTTCGTGTAATAAAACCAGAACCCATATCATCAATTCTCTAAAATAACTGTTTTGATGTGAACTAGATTAATTTGGTGAACTATAATTTTGATCAATATATTTAGGTCCTTACACATCAGAATTAGGTTTACTTATCATCTAGAAGAACTGGTGAACCGGTAAACTAGTCTTTTTTTTTTAAATCCCGGACTGTGTCAAATGGTCAAAGTGTCAACGGGTGAAGAATAATAAAAACTTATGAGAACTTATGAAAACACTTATAAGAGTGTAATAATATATCAACCACGTTGAATCTGCTTATACCCAGTGCCACTGAGGCATTTCATTTAGTACGAGAGCTCATCTGGTCATCTTGGGTATGAGAGGCACAGTTGTGGTCAAGTCATTGTAATGAAGCTGGTACCGTTGGCAAAATGATAAGATTTGAAAGTGATGAGTGCTCCCAAGATTCTAGCCACATCTCGAAATTAACGGTTGTTTTCGTGAAAACGTGTAGACAAAAAATACTGAAATCACAGAAAACTTCTTTCCCTCTCATTCTTGTTAAGTCCTCTAAGGCAGTTTCAGTGTTGTTGTTTTTTGGTCTGCTTAAGCATGGTCCCTGAAGTCGACTTCTGAATACGCTGAAAGGTTTGTGGAAAGTCTGTCGACATGCCTGGTCTAAGAGTGACCTCACAGCCCTCTGTAGATGCCCATTACAGTGTAAATTGCATGATTGGACTATAGTTTGTATATAAAACCATTAGGGTAGCATGGAACATGAAACCTCTTTCTCATACAGAGTAATTAACTCTTTGAAACTTTAATAGGTGAAATACAAATATTTCCCCGAATTCCACTGTCGCCGACATCATAATGTATTTTGAAAGCAGCTGACTTGTATAGTGTTATAAGATCGACTGAAGTCCTTCTCTTGAACTAAAAAAAAACGAACTTGCTTTATGTTTTTATCAAATACAACAAAGTATCTAGAGTGTCATAAATCTACATATAGTTTTTGTTGGATTACTTTAAATGTTCGTAAAATTATGGGTTGAAAAGCATGTGAAAGAAAACAATATTTTTATGAAATCATTTTCTCAATTTATTTGTCGTTAGCTTATTAACGCCATCTACATTATAAACACCACCTACAACCTAAAAATCCAGGAATTTGGATTATTGCCGCTCTTGGGGTCTTAAGTAATCATAGTATGAGGTTATAATAAGTAACATAACTCAGAAAATGTCTACGTTTCTTGTTGATATAAGTCTAACACTGTGAAATTTCCGTTAAAATATTGTTACAATACTCTCTATTTTACAGAGGTATGCATGGAGCCTAAAGAAGTTGGACCTTGCAGAGGTTATTTTCCACGCTGGTATTTCGACCCCACCAAAGGAATGTGTCTGCAGTTTATTTATGGGGGTTGCCGAGGAAATCGAAACAATTTTGAAAAATACCCAGATTGTAAGCAGATATGTGAGATGATGTCGAAAGGTATGCCAATTACAGTTCTGACGTCATTTAATGTTATGTAGCATTAAAGAAATAACTGTAAGAATGAAAGTTAGCCTCGAAGTGCAGCTACGTTAGAAACGGTGATTATTCCCTCTTAATTAAATCATTTCACAAATCATCCACTTCTTTGCTTGTTTTTAGACCTTAGATACAATTGAAAGGTAAAAGATCAAATTAAATAACAACATTATTTCAAGTTACAGAACTTTAATATGTGTTCTGACATAACCGTCTCACTAACAATGTTGGCTTCTGAGCAGATTAACCAGAAATATTTTGTTTTCATGGATATCGGCAATCACATGTGTTGATCCTTCTGCGTAGATAAGACGGGTTTTTTTTATGTGTTTCTAATTAAGCTGTCAAAAAAAAATATTTTATTAAACATATCTCTAGGCCATCATTATTGTCCTCAAAACAGGCAAAGGGAGAGACAGATATTTAAGTTAATATGAAGACAAATATATTGAAATTATGACTAGACTCTGTAAATGACGTTATTTCTTATATTTTCCTTAGTGAGAACAATGGACCATAGAAAATACACTCTGAATCGATTTCTTATTGTGCGGAGACTTCAAGGACATAACTCCCTGAAAGTATTCAAGGTAAACAAATAAAGGTAGAATGGACAACAGCTGGCTGCTTAATTCAGAGTGACACTTGTAGAAAAAGTCTTTGAGGACAAATCTACAAAAGTACCTTTCTACAAGCTCATCCTGAAATAAGCAGTTGCTGCCCATGTTTATCTTTGTTTGTTCATCCCAGAAGAGTCTATGGACAAGACGAAAACCGGTTCGGGGTGTATTTTCCTTACAAAAGTGTGAGAAATGAATTCAATAACAGAGCCAACGACCTTTGTTTGTTTCTGAGTATATTCCTGTCAAACGCATTTTACACCTAATTTTCAAAGTGTACTACGTATATATATATATATAAGTAATTAATGTTATTTGATGGAAAGAAATAATAACATGAAAATAAAAAAATCGTAGCCACAATAGAAACATCCGGAACATAAATCATAAGGTGAGTCATTATGTAATGTGCCCTGGTTGTTGTGTTTTTTTAGGTACTGGCGGAGGTAAGAACCAAACAGCGTTGTGGGTATACCGTCTATCCAGTTTAACCTAAACTTCACCTGCCTCACAAAGTTAAGAAAAACAAAATGGAGCAGACGTGTATGCTTTAGTACACAAAGTCCCACATCTTTACTATCTTTCGCTGATATATATATACATGTATATATATATATATATATATATATCATGACGTTGCCAGGACTTTCTTAAGGGAAGGGTTTATATCTATTCATGGTGCATCTTTCTTAGATAATGTGCACACACAAGTAAACTTGAATGCACTATGACAAGAACTTGGTGATAAACAAGTTATGTTGAAATACATATTTCTCAAATTGGAAAAACAATGGATACTATCTATTCATTAAGTAATTGAGGTTCGTCTACGTCACAATTATACAAATATAAATCCTCGTTTAATAACTACTAGCTGCCGTACCTGTACAACACACGGGTGGGGAACTTACGTCCCCCAGGCGTGAAATAGGTTTTACATCCAAAAGCGGACTCCCTGTGTCTCTCCTTTGTGCTCTAAGGGGTATATATAAAAATTATATATATGCCAGACTAGGGACAATCGGTCCAAGCGGTTTGCCAGTTATAAGCTGACACACTACACACAGACATCAGATAATGGTTTAGATTTGTTGTTCACAAAGAGGGTTCGTTCGTACCCCCGAACCCTCCTGGTAATGCCCCTGCAAGGAAATACAGATTGGGAAATATGTTTCAGAATTTCTTAGCTACCACTCTGCTTGAACGTATATTTTTTCTAAGAAATACTGTACTTACTGAGTACATCTTAAAAGTAAGAATTATCGTCCTCTGTCCTAAATTTATTGCATGTTTTGTTCTAAATTTTCTTATACTTTCAATCTTTTTTATATGTTCGTTAAGAATACTTATCATCATTTGTAAAATAAATAATTGATATATCTTAACGTATCAAGAAAAATAATGCATATAAATGTCGAGAATCTAAATACTCTGTTAAAAAATAAAATAAAATTATGGTTTATATAAGTATAACCCAGCATATTACCTTCTGAGTATAGTTAATCTATGTTTAGCTAACTGATTTAATTTAAATATATAAAGTAAAGCTGAGACCGAAAGTTGTTTGAAAAACTTCAGTACTTATGTAAGATGGCGGGTGGCCAATCCAACATTTCGTATTCAACCTAAAATCAGCTAAATAATTATTTATACTTAGAATAGAGTTAATTCACAATAACACTAATACCCCCAAAAAAAGAAAGACTATGGTGTTGATGTTGCCGATCTATTTGTAATTTTTAATATGGAAATGATATATTTTCCCTTACAAATTTTGATATTCGAACCATTAATCTCGCATTCACAGCTGCTAACCTTTCCCCTAGCTTCTCTAGACTCGTATCTTCTCAAACTTGTTCTGGTTTCCTAGACTCCCAGCTTCCTCTGCTGTCTCCTTCTGCCTTCTCCTATGCTCTTCAGATGAAGGACACAATGATTCACCTACAGAATGGACTCGTGTGCGGTCTGTGAAAATTATTGGTGTTGTGTGTGTTATATTTTGTGTGTGTGACAAAGCTTGAAGGTGCCCGTTGTACTAGTCACGACCTGTATTTGTGTGACAATGTTTTGCATTTCTTTATGTTAGTTTTGCAATGCTTAAATTCAGCTGTGTGAACATATACTAGCTTAGTTATGTGTGTTTTGATAAGTTTATAGTAGTAGTCTGCTTTGCTTTCGTTGATCATTCATAACTGTTGCTTTGAGTGCAGTATTTCTTTGATCATTTAATTGATTTACTTTGCGCAATCACAAGCAATAGTAGTTTTGTAATGCTTATGTACATCAGCAACAATAAGAAATACAGAGGATTGGATACGTTACATTAAAACTATTTTGAATATGCAAATCATTAAGTCATGTGCCAACCACAATCGATATAAAGTCGCAGTAGAACTGAATGTATCATTACTGTATTTTGACATTGTTTGATGTTTCATAAATTGATTGCTTTTGTGAAGAGTATAAAATAGCTCTTTCTGACGCAGAATATTCGACACTCAGATCTTAAAGATGTGTTCAGATCGGGGATTCAGAATTTCCATAACGGGGATATTCCTTAAAGGCACAAGAATACAAAAGAATATGGATGAACTTGGAGCACCAGGACCATCCACAAAGAGACCTGTAACAAGTCGTACTCCACCCGCAGTAAGCAAAGTGCGGCGTCTTGTAACATGTGAGAATCCACGAACCCAATGGTCAAGTAGCAAAACCATCCACGTGTTCCAGGCAACAGTACCTGACACAATAAGGATCTCTATCTCGAAAAGCGACACAAATCACGGATACACAAGCTACTTCCGTGACATATCCTATAACCATTGCATAATTTAAATAGCTGGAGAATGAAACAAATCACTGGACACAGTATCTATGGATTTCTGTGTGAACAAACTGTTGAAATGGGCACTGGGAACTGTCGTCCTCGTACACTAGATAGATTGTGGAAAGCAAGCAGGGAGAAATTGTGTGCTTTGGTCATGAAAACCATACAACTGAGCCTTTTGAAATGAAAATTACGCTGCTGAGCTATTGTCAATCAGATAGTCATCAGATAGACAATAACCAGACGTGGCGACAAATAATGTAACAACATGGTTAGGGTTCAAAATCGTTCTAATATGGTGTACTTGTCCTCTGTATTCTTACTGGTGTGATGTACTTTGCCACTTTTTCGGTGTTATTACTTTATGCATGACCAAATGTGTGGCAGATTATTACGTATGTAATAATTTATGCATTTTGACATTTGCTCTGTGTATTTAATTGCGCATGACCAAGCTTTTTATGGTATTGTGTCACTTGTGTGTAGTGCGTTAATATTCTAATAACGATAAGGTAGGGTAACCTACTGTATTGAGAAGTGTCATCACAGAAAAAATATAAGGTTTATAAAATAGAATTATTTGTAAAATGATGTGTAAATCGAAAAATACTTATAGTGGAGAGTTGAATGTGTTGCAAATATTCATAAGTTGCTTTTTAATAAAAGGTTAATTGGTTGACAATTAAGAAACAAATACGTTGCTTTCAAAAATAGTATTGATGTGTTAGTGTGTAAGCTGTCAGCAGCAAATATTGTAGTATAATGTATTTGAAATGTTTGTATTCGGAAATGGAAAATTTGTTACTTCGAAATTAAAAGTTTGTTCTATTGAATACTTTGAACTTGAAAATATAATTATCTTTTTATAAGTAGAATAAATATATTAATGTATAACAATAACTCACGCGATTTTTAGATAGTGTTTAATGTGTGAGAATTTACAAGTACTCGTGTTACTTTTTAAGGGTAGTGTTAATATGTTATTGTGTAACAAACACAAGTAGTGATGTCTTCAACAAATACAGAGAACACCGCTAAATGGTTAACTTCAGCCCACAAGTTGCAGTCTTATGTTTATACAAACTTCAATTTTTATACACAGTAAATCTTAGCAAAGAAATGTTTACTCTGTATGATAAAGTTTCGCACATTAATTGCTCTTGCAGATATGTTAAGAATATTCTTTCACCTGATAATCAAGGTTTTTATTCCCATTGCCAAACACATTTTTCCTACTAGAACTCACTTTTGAAACAAATATCTCTCTCACTACAAACAAAGCACATTATCTGAATTTAAATATGAGCATCGTTAAATAGATATTCAACTTCAAAGTATTCAATAAAACAAACTTTTAACTTCGAAGTGCCCCTCCCCCAGTGGCATGTCTGCGGACTTACAACGCTAGAAATCGGGTTTCGATACCCGTGGTGGGCAGAACACAGATAGCCCATTGTGTAGCTTTGTGCTTAAATTCAAAAACAAAAAACAATAACTTCGAAGTAACGAACTTTCCATTTCCGAATACAAACATTCCAAATAAGTTATACTACAATATATACTGCTAACAGCTTACATAGGCCTGCGAATTTAAACTTCATAAAAGTTATTTTGGTTTTAATAACGGATTTTATATAATTCGTCTACGCAGATTTTGAAAATAATATCATTTTTTCTATCACATAAGGATTTTTTACAAATCGGAAAGACAAAATTATTACTTAGATCAAATTATTTACCACAATGAACATATTTTTATTATTATGTTTGTTAACAAAAAATGCAAAGAAACTGAAGAAACGGGAAGAACATTGTTGTCAAACGAATATGCATCCTCTTTCATCCTGATTTTTTTGTGGAATCTACGTCTTTTACTCTGAAAACTACGGGTAATGGTTTTTCTTTTATGTATTGCGTTATGACTTTTGTGAAAAATCTGTATGTGATTGAGAAAAATGGATATCATTTTCGGATTCAGCGTACAGGAATTACTGTACAGCATGTAAACATTTCAAGACAATAAAATAATCGCAGGCCTGTGTTATTAGATACAATAGTATTTATTCAACATTACCAAATTTTTTGGGCAGACCTCATAAACTCCCCCTCGTTATTCATCAACAAGATTTCTCCAAACACATTTTAAACACCAGATTTATTCAGTTTTGCAGTAAATTCAACAATCTTCTTGTTACCAGTTATAGAATAATAATTTTACCGAATAGCACAACATTTTCCAAACTACCACGTCTACACCTTAATTTCTTAATTAATTTTAACAATGAACGACTTTAGTTTATTGACCACCTTTAGTTTCACTTCCCGTTAATTTAAACTGCTCGCTAGTTAATTCAAGCTGTATAATAGTTTCTGTTACATTAGCTGTTATCTTTATCATTGTTGTTTTATCATCGTTTAAGTCTTACTATTTCTGTGATATTTCTCATATCTTATTATCACTTATTCATCTCCGCTAGTTCTTAGGGTCTTTATTTACCACTTATGCTACACTCTCCGTAAATATTCTATGTGTATCCTTAAAGCCAGATTAGTTGTGTATAGGCACATCTCACAATATATCTAGCACTTCATTTTCTTTGTAATGCACTTATCTTGGTTATTTGTAATTGAGGAACTAATGTTTTTATTGTTTATTGTACAATTTTATTAACGTGATCCTCACTTTCAAAACTTGATGGTCAGATCCCACTATTCAGTCTATCAGTTCAAAGTTGAGGACGGTTATGCTTTAATAGCCCTTCTGTAGATTCACGCGAAAATTCAAATAGACAAAATCATATTTACTTTTTTTAACTATTATTTTTTAACCTTTTTGTCTAGAGGAATTAAGTTGTAAACATAAAGTTGAAGGTTATATTTTGGTATTAAAAACTTAAAAGGAGACTTGTATGACTCAAAGATAGCAACCTGGCATCTGGACTTTAGCCCAAACAGTCAGTGGCCCAGTTCATTATTGTCAGAAAACATCTGACATGATGTGAAACAGATATTAAAATTTTATCTATGTTCATTTTGTTTCTGTTATTACATAGTTTATTCTACGTGTCACTTCATAAGAATATATCGTTAAATTGCAAAATTTAATATTCTATTTCATACCAAACATTACATAACGTAGGTTTGTTTGTTTTTAATTTAGGTATTAGATCATTGAATCTGAATTATATAAAACATTGCATACTTATATAAACTGACCTCATATGGACCAATATATAATGCTGTTTTATCTAATTTGAGAGATGAGTCTGACTAAGTTTTCTGCACTTTAACCCGCCAGCACCCATGAGTACTCTGTCAACGTCCCCAGCTTTTGGTGGAGAAGGAACAAGTGATTTAACTGTCATAGACTGCATGGTCACTCCTTGGTCTGACTGGACTTCCTGTAGCGCCACCTGTGGGAAAGCCAGGAAAGAACGGAGACGGATGATAAAGGTAGAACCACAAAATGGCGGAAATTCTTGTCCACGAAAGCTGAAGCAAAGACGCAAATGTCGATATATTCCAAAATGTCGTAAGTCCTTAACTTTAACTATATTGTAACTTTCGTTACCATGAGTTTATATATGTCCCTCTCTAAAGCAGTGCCATGGGAGTTTGAAATTGTGTACCACCATCAAACTTCCAAAAGTTTACCAGTTTCATGTTTCAAATTAGTAATGAGATATTAAAACTTGTGGTTTTTGTTTTTTATTGTATTTCTAAAAATCAACCTACCACATATATATACAGAGATAGATATTTATCTAAGCATGGCAGTGAAAGCTTATTTTAAAAGTCTACTTAATCAATATCAACATTATTATTTTTCTAGAGATACATTTTAATTTGCTCTCAATTCTCTGCCAGTACATAAAAGTAGAAAATTCCTCAAGTGTACCCCATGAGCATGTTGTAGCATGAAGACAGGTTGTAACATTTCTTACCTGTTGTTCTAATACAGTGCTTCTTTAGCTTCATACTTTTGTAACAACTAAACTGCTTTACTCGATTTTGCGAGAATTAATCAGGAATTAGGTATTGAGGATTATAACGGTAAATTGAGATTTTGAAAATTGCTTGGAATAAAACTGATCATAAAAGGCAAAAAAAAAAAAGTAAGTGGGGATTTATAGATTTGTTTTGAATATTGCGTAAAGCTACACGAGGGCTATCTGCGCTAGCCGTCCCTAATTTAGCAGTGAAAGACTAGAGGGTAGACAGCTAGTCATCACCACCCACTGCCAACTCTTGGGCTATTTTTTGCCAACGAATAGTGGGATTGATCATCACATTATAACACCCCCACGGCTGAAAGGGCGATCATATTTGGTGGGGTGGGAATTCAAACCCGCGACCCTCAGATCGCCCCAACCACCCGGCCAGAGATTTATAGATATCTAGGTTGTGATTTTTTATCTTGTTTTTATTAAAGATTCTGTTCATTTGTCTTTCTTGGTTAGAAAGAACAAATATATAAACATCATTTCCTGAAAAAAAATTAATGTCTTAAAACTTTTACTACCTTCACTTTTACATTTTGTCTCAATAGCAGATTACCTCGGCTCTGGTGTTACTAAATTTTTTTTTTTAGAAAATTATAGCTACTTTTACGCTTCGCTTTAAAAGAAAAAATGACAAAATTAAAGGCATTTAAAATTTGATAAAAACACCAATGTTTTAGGAAATAACATACAGGAGTAATTACGTTATATTAAAACGATTTTGAATAAGCATATCAGCAAATCAAGTAACAATAGCTGAAATAATGCCGTGGTAGAGTGACACGTACCAGAAATACATCTTGGCATTGTTTGAAATTTCATAAGTAGTGTAATGCAATCAAAAATTTGTCGCTTTTGGGAAGGGTATGTAACAGCCCTTTTCGATACGAAATATCCATACAATTGGATCCTAAGGATGTGTTGAGATCAGGAATTTCCAAGAGAGGGAAATCACGTGTATTTAATGACATTGAAAAACAAAGGAATATGGATCAAATTGGGACACAAGAATCTTCCAGAAAGAAACGATTCGTACTCCAGCCGTGATAAGCGTCAAGGTCAGTGGTAAAAGCCACGCAATATAATCATGAGAGATCTCCTTCTGTAAAACCTACAAAAGTCATGCTTACATAAGTTGCTTCCAGGACACTTCAGCTCAATCCTTACATACTTCAAGCAGTTTGAGAATGAAACGGGTATTCATGCTATTAAATTCAAAATCATGCCAATCAAGTTGCCGAATTTTTGTGCGAACGGACTGTTGAAACAGGTGCTGGGAATCCGCCATCCTCGTACACTAGATTGATTATTGAAAGCAGGGATGAGTGGTGTGTTTTAGGTGCGAGCGGCTAACGACGGAGCCTTTTACAATGGAAACTACATTGCAGGGCTATTGTCAAGATGCACGGTCGTCAAACAGAACATGACCGAACATAGTGATTGGGCTTGTACCGACGTGTTAGGGCTCCATAATCGTTTTGTTTTTTATATAACGTACTCAACCCTATGGATGTCTGTGTGTGTGTATTCTTTGTTTATACATTAGAGCCACGTTACAATTTCTGTTAAATGAAATTTAAAATTGAAGATTGTCTAAATTTTCGTACAAAAAAACACCAAGTCTATAAATTTTTAGTTAGGTAATATTGTTGTTGTTGTTTTTTTCATCAGTTATTTACACCAGAAAAGTTATTCCTTCTGACAGAAGATGATTATTGTTTCCTCACTTTTTAACCATGTCCTATTTAAAGCAACCAAATACTTTTAAAAAGTAAGTTATATACTTACCACATTTTTCTTTATCCTCATTAAAGGAATATGGAAAATTTTAGTTATTACAGTGCCCAAATATATTATTTTGAAAACAGTGTTTATCAGAAAGCTCTCCAATAATAAGGTATCCCAATAGTCCAGACTAATTGGAATAAACACTGTTGCCTTCAAATACTTCTAGGTCAGTCTAAGAAATATCTCTACCAAATTCTTTATAAAAACGGTTCAGCTGTAAGTCTGTGGACTTATAACACTAAAAAATCTGGTTTCGATACGCGTGATTGGCACAGCACAGATAGCCCATTAAGTGGCTTTCTTTAAAAACAAAGAACCAAAACAAATTTTATAAATATGTTTATCTTGATATTGAAGAGTTACTTTGAATGATATTCATACAGCTGCATTTTAAGAAAGAGAGAGAAAATCAAATCTGTAGTCTTCGTGGTGTAAGTTTTGTTTTGTTTTTAATGAGGATATTAACTTCGAAACGAATTTAACCTTATCCTTGACTTTAACACAACCGCATCAACTAATACTATACGACTAGCACTATTCGTCATGCAGAATAGCAGATACTATAGCCATCCAAAGGTCCGACCTCTCATGACAGTCATGAATTCATCCAGAGTGAGCTTGAGTGTCTTGTTACAGTATATCTACAAACATCAGGTGACAGCGACCAACTTTTTGCTATCTCCGTGTTTCCACATGGGTATGAAACTGGATATCTCCTTTTTGTGGCGCGCCATATACCGAATTAGACAGCCTTAGTTTCGCAACAACTAAAGAGCGCTATATGATATTACCATATAATTCTGTGTTTGGCATGTGATCACTATAGTTCATTTTATAAAGTCAACATAATATTTTTTGTACCACAGCCGTCAATAAGTTGGTCCAGGTCTCACAACCATGTAGAAGTATTAACAGCGCAGTATCAAATTCTAGGGTTAACATAGCAATGGAAACTAATTATTCACATTATGAAAATAAATAAATTACATCCAACTTAGTTTTGCTTTTCCAAACTTTCTCTTACTGGGTTATCGTAAATTAGAAATAAAACAAAGCCATTACAACTAAAGACCAAACGTTATTAGCAGAGGAACAAGTTTAAAACACTTGTGAAAAAAGGCTGTTTTTTGTTCTTCCATCACACGTATAATACACATATACAAAATATCTGTATATACTTCGTTTCCGTATTCACAATTTTGTTTTATTCTAATGTGTTAACTTTTTATTCATACATTCCATGCCGCTGCAGCACGGAACGTGATGGCAGATTCTAAGTATGGTGGGTAACGTTTTGATTTTCATAATGGTCAAATTTTGGACATTAAAGTTGAAAATACTTTAATGAATAATAATAATTATTATTAACTGTCTATTATGTGTTCTTATACTTGGTAATATATTAATTGTTAATGGTACTTCTGTAACTTTTTTGCTTGAGCATTCTTTTGAAGGCACTTCTAAAATCTGATTTTTGGTAAAATTTTTGTATAATTGTTAAGAAACATAGCAGTCTAAAATATTTTACTTTTGCGTGTGTGTGTGTGTGTGTGTCGTTGAAACGACGCTTTTAAATCGTAGACATTCTCGAAGCAAGCCTAGGGGTATTAAGTTCAACAGAGTTTGGTACCGAAAGAAGCTGTCAGTCACATATAAACCGATTTGATTTAGGCTTAAGGGGTTATCAAGAGTGTTCTTTGGTTTTCTTAATTTTTCTATGTGAGCAGCTTGTTTTATTATTACCTGTATTGTCTGGGTTCATCAATGTTACAATTGAACGTGAGTTACGTTTATCAATTCGGTGACGATCAATATTAAGTTACGTGGTTCAAAAGCTAAACATTATTATTCAAGATTATATTATACAATTTCATACCACTAACTCTACTAAAACTTCTAATTTCATCTTGTCAGTTTATACATATTATTATTAGAACTATACCCTGTTATCAGCTGTGTAAGTAATGTTTTTATGCGATTAAAAGATGCATTTTATTTATAATATTTTGAACAGATAGATGCGTGAAGGTTAAATGGTGCAACATTACTGATGAAATAAAGTACTAGAAAATTAGTTTTCGAATTAAAAGTTTAAGCTTTACGAACTTTACCACGCAAGTTAAAAAAAGTTTCTGAATTTAGCCATTTTTTTCCTTTTTAAGCAAAAAGAAAATATAAAAATATATCTTAGGGAAAATCCCCTCGACTCCAAACAATTTTTAAAAGTCGCATTTTTTGATAAGTAGTTAAAGACTGCCGTTTCCTAAGTGGCCTTTCATCTTATCCAGTTCTTTATACTGATATCCTTAATAAACAATCTTAACTTTGGAGGAGAAATAAAAACTATCCAGATTACAAGAGTGGATGTGAAAGTGCTCTAAAAGTTGATTAACCAAGAAATAGGCTTATATTGTTCGCTATTTCATTTAAGTTCGGCATCATGAGAGAAGTCACAAGTTTACCAGATCATTCTGGAACAAAAGCACTTTTCATCAACGGTATTTTTGTTACTTTGGTTACAATGTTCCTAATAACATATTAATAATTTTGTGCATAAGTAGTTTTTTAAAAACTTATGCGGACCCCACTGGAAATTCTAATGTTAATGTAGCAATGGAAATTAATTATTCACATTATGAAAATAAATAAATAATATCCAAATTAGCCTTATTTTTCCCAAACTCTCTTACCTGCGCTATCGTAAACACGAAATATATATATAGACACACACACACACAATATAAACAAATTTAACTGTCAGGGAAACAAGCATAAGATAATAATTATGAAAAAATAGCTGTTTTCCATTCTACCATCACATGTATAACACACTTATACAAAACATCTGTATACACTTCTTCTCCATACTCACAAAACGTTTTTTATTCCAACGTGATAACTTTTTAAGCCTCAGATCTAGTTAGTGTATTCGATTGTTCCATGTAATTTTGGTCAACCCAAGTTTTCTGTTCGATTTTTTATAACAAAAAATTAATCGTGTGTTAACTTATGCAAAAATAAAAAATACTTTCTCTTCAGCTGTAGATTGTAAACTGAGCTCTTGGAGTAAGTGGTCACCTTGTTCTAAGTCTTGTGGACTTAGTGGTTACGAAGAAAGAACCCGGGATATCAAGAAGTCTCCAAAAAGAGGTGGAGCGCAGTGTGGTCTTATAGTTGAGAAACGATACTGCAGTCTTCCCCCGTGTCCCGTGTTTTAAGAGGTTTGTATCATTTATAATTCACAATATTCTATATTCTTCAATAGTGAAAATCGAGAATACAATATTTGGAAACTAGCCCTTAGTTATCGCAGTGGTGAGCTAAATAACTAATCTGTCCGATTCCGTTCTGCGGTTCTGAATAAAATAGAACTTCAGTAGATAAGATTTAAAGAAATTAAGTTTGCATTTAGCGGTCATGTAAATGTGGGCCACAGACCCATGGAGTCGCTAGTGAGGTAACAAGATCTAAAATAATCAGAAATTATATATATCTTAATTAACGTCGAATAAAAGATAATATTAAGTAAATTGTCTTGTATTTAGTAGTAAGAGAATGATTAAGAAAAAAAAAGAGATGCTATAAATGTCAAAACCGTTTTATGACGTTGAAGATATTAACTCCTCTACAGTGGTCCCCTACGATGGATATGAAATGAAAGATGACTCGCAAGGAACATATTCCGGTCCTGTATCATAGTTCATTTACGTGTATAGTGACTTTGAAAACGATCACGTATTGATATTCATTGAGGTTCCAAAAGATGGTACCGACTATGGGATAGCCTTATGAAGAGTATGTGTTCCAGACATTCTTGTATGAACAAGCGTGACCGTCAGGACAGAAACACCTAGTTACAACCAGCACTATTCTGGTAACATACATTCCAACCCCCACCCTGGTGGCGCAGCATAAATTTGAGGGCTTATAACCCTAAAAATCAGGTTTCGTTACCTGCGATGAAAAAAGTGCACAGCTCTTGTTAGTCTTGTGTTCAACAACAAACAGGCAAAGTTATTATAAATCCAAATACTGTTTTGCATCTAATTATCAACAACGCATGTCTTACAACCAGTTCCTATAACACAATCTTACACTAGATACATTTCGTTCATATTTTGAAATGACCCTATAAAAGTACTTGAATTTCAAAATAAGCAGTTTAACTATTTTAACACATTTTTTGATATAATTTGGAAAATAGATATCGTTAAATGTAACATTCTACGCTAAAACTGTCTGAACGTATACATAGCTTTGCATATTAAAAGAACACAACATCGTGTATAGCAATTAGTGAAAAACCACAGTAAATGGAACTGTCAGAAATCTTGATGTTGGAGACACTAGTTTCGATACATTCGTGTGTCCTCTTCGGGGCAACGGTAGCTCCACTAGGAGGGCTGATAAGCATATCAACCATACATACGGCCTATTTAAATTTGTGCGACAACCCACTGTAAAAACAATTTTCTTAAATATTTTAATGAATATTAAAATCAACAAATCGCATCCCTAACCCAAATATAAACTTACGCATCCGAGTTGATTATGTTTTCGTGATGAAAGAAGAGGTCTGAAACACTTAAACTTTAATGTTAAATATTACGCTATCTGACATAACAGACATCTTGAAATAACATTTGAAAACAACCTTTACTAGTATTGCACTACTGGTCATGCACAAAAATCGTCACAAAACTTCAAGAAATGTCTTGTGGAAATGAAATAAATTGGAAATACAGGACACGATTTCCGTTTTATGACAAAAGAGATGGCAACGTTAGGAGCTCTTCTACGAGTAACGAGAGAGTTAGGCCTAACCTATAAGACAATAGAGTAGTAGTTTCCGCCGACTAATACTGTATAAGGTAATCATTTGTTGTTTACAGCTTAGTAACAATATAAAAATGACATTCTTTTCACAGCCTTTTGACAAAATGATGCTGTATTATAACACAGAGACTGCAATGCTTGCAACTGCTTTTCTATTACCTTATAGATTAGGCCTAACTTACTTCTTACTCGTAAAACAGCTCCTTCGAACGTTGCCATCTCTTTTGTAATGAAACAGAAATGGTGTTCTGAATTTTCAATTTAAGAACAACTTCGTACTTCATTTCCACAAATCATTTCGTGTAAATTTTCTGAAGTTTTTACACATTTGCAATACTGACACAAGTAATTTGCAAATGTTATTTAAAGATGTCTGTCATGTGAGAATCGCGTATAAGATAGTAAAATATTTGACACTCAGGTTCGAGTTTCAGACCTCTTGTATCGTCGCGAAAATAGCCAACTTGGATGTTTAAGTTTATATTTATGTTATGGATGCATTTTTGTAGAACTTGTTTTAGTATTTCTTGAAATATTGATGAAAATGTATCTGCAACGGGCTGTCTCACAAATTTGAAAAGTATATCAGCCCTTCTAGTAGAACTAGGAAAACTGGTCAACAACAAAAGATGTCACCAGTCTTTGAACATAAAAAAAATATTAAATATAGAAACACAAACAATGTTATTTTTATTCATGCGAGAGATTCTTGCCATAAAATCGATTGGAAATCAATAAAGAATTTTATACAAAACGTATAACTACACAAAAAAGAAGAATCGTCGAAAATTGTCTACTCAAAAGCCTGAATACTTTCAACACCTATCAAGACCACGTTAGGCAAAACAACTTGATATTCTGTGTCCTTAAAGGAATTCGAAGTTCTGGGGGTCATGTAGGCGTTGGTGACCAGTTTTCCTGCCAGAAGACAACGCGAGACAGAAGAGGGTTACACGAATGTGTGAAACTAGTTTCTCCAATAACAAAACTTCTGAGAGTTTGTTCAATTTACTGTGGTTTTTCACTAATAGGTTTGCCTCTCGATATCAAACTCAGCCTTAGAATACATAATTATCCACAAAGCTGCATCATGAATACTATTTATTGCATACTTCTAAATGTGCGTTTACATTGCTCTTAATTAATGTTATTATTCATTTCTTAAATAAAACGGTTACATTTTCAAGAACAAAAATGACGCGACTGTCACGATTTGATTTTACTCTACGAATTTGAGGATTCACTTCAGTAAAGTAAATATATTTCGTGATTTCTAAATTTTCCGTATCAGCAAGGAGAATCTTTGGAACAGCACACACAAATTAAAACATTACGTTCCAAGAGCCGACCTTTTAACAACTTAGTGACCATTGCCCAAACTCTTGTCCAGAAAACGATCCTGGCTCAGTTTGTTAGAAATCTGGAGATTTTCAATTTCAATGGTAAAATACGTGGCAAATTAAACATTCATCTTTAAATTTGTACAGCTACTGCTAATAACATAATAGTTGGTTTTGTAGCCAAATAAATCAAGTTTGGATAGTTTCGGATATTCGCACAAACATGCATAGCTGTCCCTACTTTTGAACTGAGAAACTGTATGAAAGCAGCTAGTCTACAGTACACCCCGTCAACTCTTGGGATACTCTAATCGAAAAGCCCGCCCCAATGAAGAACGGAAGCTATTTGTTCTTCATCGACAAGGCTATCTGCTGCCGTTCCTAATTCTGAATTACTAACCAAAGGAAAAGCAGAAGTTAGCAGCACCCTAGTACCCACTTTCAATGCTGATGGATTGACTTTCACTCTTATAACGCACCCACAGCTTAAAATGCGGGGAAAAGTTGTGATATTGCAGATTCGAACCCAGCTCGTCAGCTCCGAAATCCAGAGCTATGCCAACTCGCTGCCAGAAAGGAATGAAAATTAATTATGTGCTCTTACTCCACACAGCACACGATGCTGATACTGCACTGCAAAATAGTGAACTGAAAAAAAAAACCACTTGGTTCCCTAATATTGGCTGACAGAAGATATGTAAAATTCATAATGATTATATGGAATATGAGTGAAGCCTAACCAGCCCGTAATGCTGAGATTGTTGTAGGATTTTGATGTTTTTTGGTTGTATATATATATATATGTGTGTGTGTGTGTGCTTTTTTGTATATACATTTCATTGCATGGTAAATTTGAGCAGATTTGCAAGTAACAAAAGTTTTCGATCATTTAATTACAATAAAATTTACAATTTACAATAAAAGAAACTCATGAAAACGCTCTTGCAATATTAGTGATCCAGATAATACACAATATGGAAAAACTGGTTACTCAACTAGTTAAATATTACCGCACAATGATAAAACAAAATAATTCAGAAGTATTAACGATTAAAATTTTAAATTTATATAAGCAGTTTTGAATGTCAACTTGCAAAATTTATATCTTTTTTTCTTTCTAGTCCAACCTCAAGTGTTTTGGTGAAAAGTCACAGTTTTCGAAGTGTACCCAAGAAAAGAACAGCCACTGTACATAACTCACTTATATAAGAGACGAAAAACGTGTATTCATCATGCTATATTGTTCTTGTATTCCTTAGTCTCTACAATTTCATGTAAGTGTATACTATCTATAATAAATAGTGTATTATAATTCGTGTAAATTGCGTTTTAGATATAAGGCGCATAATAGACAGACTTTTTAGTACGACTAGCTACGGACAAACTTGTGTAGGTCAAAAGTTTTCGCAGTTATCAGAAACTGCATTCTTAGGAAAACCTAATAAAAAGGTAAATACATATCAATATAGAAATGTATGTTAATGAAGAAAGGATTTAACAGAATATTTATGCTTGTCATTTACCAATGTTTTCACTATGTTAGTTTCTTAAGATACGTACGGTATTTACGTGCAGATTTTAAAATCGTTTGAGGTGTTTCGAGACTCCCGCCAAGTACACGTATTATGCATGCACTCTTGTTAAAGTAAGTGGCAATGAAAAGCACTGTACGGTTTTTTCTGTTTCGTCTGCTGATACTTGATAATATAAAAGCATCTGTAAATGTGTAAAATTCTGCAATAAAATTTTCCAAGTTCAAATGAATGTCTCAATTCCTCCCGTTTCTTACATTTGTTATTATTGAAAAAAATTTGATAAACAGAGAAAATGTAGTATACTGACTTCTACTAAGAATTTATCGGAAGAAACCATATTTTTCAAACAGAAGCTAGCATATGCAAAATGTAAAAAAGCAACATGCATTTAACTTTTCTCTGCCTAAGATTTCAAGATTTAGTTACTACAGCAACAGTGCACAAGTACCAAAAACACTGAAAATAGAAATTTCAATCTCCATCTGTTCAGCTCACTAAGTTGCTTCCCAATATTGTCCATATCAGACCAGTCAGAGCACAGGGAAAATAACTAATTGTATTAATCTACCAATTACAGTATGGGATAACTTCATAATGCATTATGGTTTTAGGGCAATTAATCAATTGATAATATTAGTATGGTTCCATTGTAAAACTGAAAAATGTCTTACAAATATTGTATATGCTTTAGTCAATGTTGTAAAAACCAAGTGCTAGCATATATCCTAATGCAGAAAACCATCCAATGGACAGCATTTTCATTTGTAATAGAAAACAAACCAGAATAATCCAAACTGAAAACTACTCACAAAAATCTGAGTACATAAGATAGATTACATGGTAACCTAGATGTTCTTTTTTTCACATTTCTTCCTTTTAAGCTCTCAATTTCAGTAAAACACAATGTTATTTGAATCACACATTTCAAATCACTTAATTTTTCATTCATTATGTAAAGTAACATATTTTTTCCTGTTTTAATTTTATCTAATCCTATTTTTCTTACTTTTTCAGTTTTTAGCTTTGTTAAAACATGTTTAGGTTATTCATAGAAATTAACATAGCTGAAACATGAACACTGGGGATTTAAAACATGTGAAACAAAATAACTCAATCTACATTTAAGGACAATGGACCTGTTGGTCTATCTCATCCACTGAACTAATATTTAGAATAAAACAAAACACTCAAAACAAGCCCTTATTAATTAAATATTTATCAAGCCTTCCCTTAAACTCCCTTAAATTTACTGCATCCACCACATCCAAATGCCAACTACCCTGTTAAAAAAATGAAACTGTGTTAGCTAAATATGAATCCTATCCTGCCAAAATTTATATTACTGTTCCCTAGTCTTACCATTCTCACCATCAAGTATGGAATAGATAATGCATCAATACTATCAATTCCCTTAACAATCTTAAACACCTTAATAAGACCACTTCAAACTTTTTTTTCAAGAGAAAACAATTTTAGAGATCATGATCTGTCCTCATATAACAACCTTACCATCCCAAGTATCACTGTAATAACCCTCCTCTGAACCCATTCCAACAATTCAATGTCCTTCCTAATGTAAAGAGCCCAAAACTGAACACACTATTCTATATCTCCATACACAGCCAAACATTAAACCTAATTCAGCAATTATTACTTGCACCCTAATGTTCCCCAGTCTAAAATAGCATTGTTTAGTAAGTTACGTTATCATTCGGTGAGGAAAACCACCACGAAGTTTCTAAAAACCTGACTCGCTCATGGTTTGACTTAAATTTAACATTTCTCAATCTGTATGCCTATAATTAAAATCCTCCATAATTATGACCTCAGTAACAGTTGAATTATTTATCTCACTGTAGAGTTTCTCATTAATTTCATCAGTTTCAATTGATGGCCTGTAAAAAAAAAGCCAATTGAAGTCCTTCTTCTCTTATAATCACTAAAAGAAACCCAAATTGATTTAATTTCACTGCTATCGGCTTTGATATCCTCAACTTGAACAGGATATAACTCACATTTTACATATAAAGCCACACCTTCTCCTATTTTAAGTAATATATCCCTACTAAATAAATTGAAATGTCTGTCATCAAAATTGTCTACATTTAACAAAGTTTCAGTTATTCCAATTATATCCAAATTCTCTTTCCAGTAGTGTTCTAAAGTCATACATTTCTTATATTTCTAGCAATACAATAATAACACTTTATTCTACCCTTAAAACTATTTATGTACTTTGTTCCTACACTACAACTTTCTGTATCTCTTATTTTTTTATTCACTTAGTTTATTGTTGTCGTCACCACTGTCTAGTCCTAGTTTAAAGCCACCCTTGCAATTGAGTTAATAGCCCTTGTAAACAAGCCAGCCCCTACCAAAAATTTCCATTTTTCTATTGAACTGATCCCACAAGTCCAAAGTCCAATCTGCTCATCCTTACATAATAAAGTAAGCCTAACATTCAACCCTAATAACCTACTTAGAATCTAGTCTGTACACTTAAGTGTTGGCAGTATCCCTGACAAAATTAAGTTACTATGGCTCTTTTCTTTATATGCCTTGTACTTAACAATAAGCTCCTCTAACTTACCCTTCCCTACATCATTAGACCCTAGAGGCACCACAAAGACTACATCACTGTTAGTGACCTTTACTATATTGCTTGCTCTGTCAGCATAATCTAATTCCTTTCTCTGTATTTACACCACAGGCTATCCTATTCATGTGCTATACTAAATAATTACTTATAACCTCCTTATGTTTTTCATTCCCATCCCTATCTGTCCCTTTTGTTTTCCTTTCCTCCCATATATCTTCATCTGCACAATAGTTGGTTATAATTATATTGTTTTTATTATAAAAATAAAACTATGTAGGCATAACATAGAGTGAATGGTAATGTTTTATTAATGGTGGTTCACATTCCTGTAAGATTTCATGACAAAAACGTGTTTTTTCTTGCTCAACTTTGTCTTCTGTCCAATGTTGTATATGTGGGTATATACCCATCTACGTAGCTATTTGTGTGTAAAAATACATATAGTATGCATCAAATGTAGCATTTCTCAAAGTGTAAAATGGTAATACTCATTCAAGAGCATTTAGGATTAAGATGCAAATATTTAAACGGTGCACCAGTTCCAAATATATGTATGAAAATCAATTATTTAAAAATGTTTGTACTTTGGTAATCAAGCATACACTAAAGCATGAGAAATGAAACAAAATAAGCTAGACTATGTAAAAAATTGCTTTACCTAAAGATTATGAATTGTTGGCAAGGTAGCATCAGATTATACAACAAAATCTTTTATTTCTTTTACTCATTCTACTTGTGGTTAGCTGTATAGTTGTGATACAACAAATACAATTTTTATACCCTTTAAACAACATTGACATGAGCTGCCAAATACTTAATATTGCAGTTTCTTTAACCTTCATGGTTGTAACCAAATGTTAAAAATGAACCATACCTATGTGATCACCTCTTTCTTTCATAACTGCTTACGTAGATAGGGGTTCATACCAAACTCCCTTTTCCATTTGTGGAATCAACAAAGCTTGATATTGATAAAAGTTCTACTTCTCAACAGTTTCCAACTGAACGAAAAGAAACTTGGATACTGGTTTTGATTTGTACTCAAAAATGGTACCTATCAATAACTGTTCTGAAATCAGTAACTACAGGAAGCCTAAAAATATTTGGAAATATTTAGTCTTCATCACATTATTGTGAAACTCATAAAAGCTCAACACTGAAAAAATTTGACACATATACACACTTTTCCTTTACAAGAACTAATTTAAGATAAATCTTATTAATTATTACCTTAAATTATTTGTTCAATAATAAAAAATGGGTTAAAAAAATTCTACTTTTAAAAATGAAACTGCTTAAATGTACTTTTCATATAGACAATCTCAATGTTAACTGGCTGTGAGCTTTAACCTTATCAAAGAGAAATAAAAAAGGGGTATTACTTAATGGTTGGTCAACAGCTAGAAATAAAAGTATAAGAAATGAAAACATCAGTGAGTATCCTTTACTAGCAGTTTTTTATATTGTCTAAATACTTATTCACTGTCACAAATAAACTGTAAGTCAAGGATACTAATAATACCAAGGTGACATCACATGAGAAACAGGAACTACAGGTTGATATACAGTGCCATTTCACAAGTAAGACAGGAAACATCCACATGGCAATTTGAGGGTCATACTTTATAAAAGGGAGACAAAAAAAACTGATCAGTGGAGATAAAAAGGTCATACTTCACATGGGAGACAAATTTTAAAAAATTAAGATAAGAAGGACATACATTACAAAGAGGACAAAAATTCAGCTGGAGATAAGATCAAACTTCAAAAAAGAAGTCACATAACTGTAGAGCCAAAGAAAGATCACATTTATAAAGAAAAATAGGAAATTGCTAAGCGTTGACATACAATCAAACTTCATACAGTACAGAGGAAACTTCCAAGCAGTGAAAGGTAATCACACTTGTTGAGGAGACTAGAAACAGTTGACTTTGGAATATACAAAGGTTACACTTTACACGTCAGGAAACTGAAAAGTGAAAATCGGATTATCACAAAAACTTGAAATCATATGTTAAGTTAAAAATAGTTATCACACAAAAGGACATCTGTAAATTGCCAAGAGAATGACAAGGGCCATCTCTCACTATGACATTTGAACAAAATATAAACTATCATTGCTCAATGTTTAAGAGATTGATCCTTCACTATCTTAAGGGCATCTAAGCTGTAACTACTTAGCTTATTTGTATATTAAGATTATATACGTATACTATTTGAGAACTAAATACCCTTCCATAACAAGGAAATGAAATACAAAAAAAAAACTCATTCAATTAGGTTAGACTACCCTCAACTGTTCTTACCTCCATCACCAACTGACACTAATAATAATTAGTGCCATAATAGTAGCAAATATCTCTCAAATGAATACATACATACATACATACACACACACAAAAGTGGACAACTGTTCTCTGTAATGTAATGGCTAAACACAGGACAGAGTTGTACATTTGAATGGGTTAAGAAAACCTACTCAAAGTTTTAAAAACAAATATTTTTAGGTCAAACTAATGTACCTTCTCCGAGATAAACAACAGCTACATTAACAATAACACAAACATAACATTCATTTTAAGAGCACATTTTTTAAACCTTTCTGTAAGCTCAGTTTTTATAAACCTGCAAGAAATTCTTATTCTATTATTCCAATACACAAGAAAATATTTTCTATAGGATCAAGATTGTTTTTAAATAAGCATAGACAGGTTTTTAACTGTTTATTTAGTTGAAAGTTTTTATTAATACTTTTATTTTACAATGTTCTTAGTATAATAACAAAATATGGTTACCATGCCCATTTCAGTGGATACAAAACAAAATAAACTTTCAATTTTTTGAAGTAAACCATTATGTGAACAAAATAGCTGTCTTGTTTGGTAAAAAGTGTTTATGTAATAGATTATCCAGTTTATAAATAGTAATATACTGTTTGAAGAATTGTTTCCTGCCAGAAAATTGTATATTGATATTACAATTTTATGTACAGCTTTTCTTTCTCCTGTACATAAAATTTATCTAATAAATTATTGTAACATACAAACATTTAGCAGTGTGACAGGTTATTTCACAAAGTTAAATTGCATCCTTCGGTCTTCTAGAATGAGACATGTGAACTTATAATATTTTGCAGGGCAGTATAGTATAGTATAGAATAAGCTTTACTGTAAAAAATCTTCAACCTCTTCCAGCTCCCGATGCCTGGCTTCTTGATGTGCCCATCGAGCCTCAGCCATATTGGGAGTCAACTTCCATCTGTCGTGATAGATTCTGTTTCCACAGTTAGGGCACTTCTTGCCACCTACAGGCCAAGAAGTGAATGAAAATTTTATTACAATAAAATCAAATCATAAAGTAAATATTACTTAATGAGGAAACTAGATGTACTTATATTTTCAAATTCTTTGTCACATAAAAATAAAAATGCTACAAAATTGAAATACATTTCTCAAGAAATTCAGTTAACAAAATAAACAATTTCACAGGATCTTGTAGAATTAAACAACATGCTTCTTGGTTGTAACACTAGAACTTTCCTTCATTAAAACATAAACATCATTCTTCTTGGCTTTCAAATCAAAACCTTCCTTCGTTAAAACATTAGATATAAGGATTCTTAGCTCTGACACTAAAACGTTTCTCCATTAAAACATTAAACATATCTTATGGCTCTGACACTAAAACCTTTCTCATTAAAATATTAAATATGCTTATTGGATTTAACTACTAAAACCTAAAGATCATTAAAACATTAAACATATCTTATGGCTCTGACACTAAAACCTTTCTCATTAAAATATTAAATATGCTTATTGGATTTAACACTAAAACCTAAAGATCATTAAACATTATGCTTCTTGGATTTGATACTAAATCCTTCTTTCATTAAAACACTAAACATCCACTGAGCTTACCAATGAAATGTAAAAGTTTTTCTTTCTAACATTTAAATATAAAACATATTCTAGTTTGCCAAACCCTTTTAGATTAAAATATAAAACAACTGCTTATCCAGCCTTTCAAAAATTAAACATTTTTCAGCTCAGCAAGATTTTTAAAATATTAAAACATAAAACAGGTATAGTTTACCAAATTTCCCTTCACTGAAATTCAAGTGTTTCAATTTACCTGATCCTATATTAAAACAAAATACACTGTGATACACAATAAATCTTTTCAATATTAAAGCACAAAACCTTCCACACACTGCCCATAATCTTCACACAATGAAACATGTAGGACCTTAAAAAGTTACCAATACCTTACAAACATACAACATAGTCAATGATCAAAATAAAATCTTCCTAAATTAAAACTTAAGTCTTTAATCTTAATAACACTATGTTAAAATTCTATAATAAATTATAAAAACTGGTTTATATTAGTCTGGCTGTAAATGGAAAGCACTGCATTGAATTCATTCTTTTGTTGACCATGTAGTCACTGGTAGCCTTAATGATCTATGTAATGACAATTTATGGCTCCTAATGGCCAAATGTCTCAAATTTAACTGATATTGCACAACACAAGTAATTAGTAAATAAATTTCTTTAAAAAGTTTCATATATAACATGTAAAAAAGAATGGGATCCCTAAAATTACATAAATCACCATACAAATACAGGTTCATATTATCTTACAACCTTACAAGCTGTTTTTTTTTTCACTTCACAACAGTTTTGTACAATCATCCAACATCCTTTTGTTAAATAGAGGGAATATTCACGGATTAAAAATTTAGCCCAGAAGTTACTAATTTTTATTTCTTTAAATCTGAATTTTCATTCAAAAGAAACTTACCAGAGTAGACTAAAACAAAGGTTTTATGCAGTAGTTGTGCTTGTAGATATGTTAGTGATATTCCTTTACCAAATTTTCTAGGTTTTCTTGAAAGTATAAAAATCACTTACCCACCAGAATCCACCCTTAAAAAAAGTTATTTGATTGCAAATAACATGAGTTATTTAACATCTCAACCTTCAACATTTTATATCATTTGATGCACCAGCATGCCAAAATGCCCATCTTAGATTTTTTACTTCTTCCCTTTTATTTTTCAAGTTTGGCAGAAATAGCATAATAGCTCATGACAATATTTATTGTCTGAGAGAATTACTGTTCCATATAGCAAAATAGAAACAAAACAGAAAACATGTTTAATAAAAAAATATGGGTTTAAACTGTAAATATAAGTTATTTATAACTTCAAGGGCAATACTTAAAAGGAAAAAATATGTTAATCAGTAAGTTTTTCAACCATTATTTTTGTTATACTTAGACAGTGTCTTTAAGGACCTATGAATCAAGTATGCTGTAGGTGTAAAAAAGCGAGTTATTAAAACTTTAAACAAAACAGAAAAATATTCTTTTATTAAACATGGGGTCTAAACTGTAAATATAAGTTATTTATAACTTCAAGGGCAATACTTAAAAGGAAAAAATATGTTAATCAGTAAGTTTTTCATCCATTCTTTTCGTTATACTTAGACAGTGTCTTTAAGGACCTATGAATCAAGTATGCTGTAGGTGTAAAAAAAAGTGAATTATTAAAACTTTCAAATGAAAATAAATATTTTTATTCATATCACGAAATTCACTTTTCATGCATATTGTTGACTCAATAAATTCTCAGACAAATCTTTAGTACAAGCACTTTATTAAAAAATATGATTTTCTTCTTTACAACATACTTTTAACTTTTGAAAGACTGCCAAATCTTGTGAAATACATGAAATAAAATTTGGAATTATAGTAATTTTTAATTGTCCAGTACAGGTAAGGTCCAATTGACCAAGTCCATGTGTGTAGGGTTAGTGGTTATCTAAATGCCCAACACAAGTAAAAGTATTTTTCAGGCATGTAGTTTCAAACCTTATTTATCTAACTAGACAATTAGAAGAAAATAATTTTTTATCTTAGCTTTGCCTGTTCATTATTAGCAGATATTAGTTTTAAAATACTGGTAAAAAAAATTAGCTAAATATTTTTGATACTGTATATTTATTTGTATTAATCAGTTTGCATATTGCACTAAGCATAACATAGTATTGTAAAATATGAACTTTGAAGACATGCTGTTTTGATCGCTATTTAACAATACTTAGCTAACTGTGATTATCAGCCATTTTTGCAGACATGTAATTCATTGTGACTGTAGCAAATACATTTGTTTCCAAATGCTTTATTCATTGACTGAAATACAAGTACTAAATATATGCATCAAAGCAATTTGCTATGCTTTTTTTTTATTATTTGCATAAGACAGCAGAAAGGGTGCTACTATAATATGTGGTTTACAATGATATTTACACTATAGCGTGCAGTCTACACAGATATTATAATCATCACCAGTTTAATGATTCACTAAAACATAATTTCTTGCTAAATAATTTAGATCTATCCACGTTTTGATTCAGCAAATAATGATAATTTAATAAGTTGTGTGTTCCAAAAAGAGTACCTTAAACTTAGGTTATAATTGTGCTAGTTTGATTGTTGGAATTTATTTCATTCTGATTATATTTGCTCCAAAAATGTTGTGTATTGGTATTTTGTACTTTATTAGTTTAAAAGCATTATCTATAATAAATGGCACCAATTTAAAATAAATAAGAGTTAAAACGGTGATGATGATTATGATAGTATCTGTGTGGACCTCATACTATAGTAGCACCGCAGAAAGTCTAAGTTCTTTCCTTATGATAATGACATAAATATTGTTATTTCAGTTAAACATAATACAACAAAATATGAGGATATGTACAATAAGGTATGCATAAATTGGTATCTATTTTCCATACAGGTTAAATTGGATTTAAGCTTTTGTTATGTAGGTTGCATTAGAAGGCCTAAGTAAAATAAAATGATGTCATAAAATGGCAGAACTTATACCTAATAATTAACTTACTGTAACTGTATGATATTCAACTCATAAAAGGTATTCAAAATTTTACATTTTTATGCTTCAACATCTGCAAACAAGTTATGGTTTTCAGTATGAAAGTCATCTCAATTATACCATAGGTTCATAGTTTTTATGCACCCATTTAGTAAATGGAGAAGAATGAGTAAGAGTACTGTAAAATTACAAAGACATTCCTGCATATTTACCTTGAAAAGGTGGGGTTTTTAAGTATGAGAGAAGACAGTCATAATGATAGATGTGACCACAGTATACCCGCTCAACAAATTTTGGGTTATTGGGATCTTCAGTTACCTCCTGTAAACAATTTAAAATGCCCATCACATAAATGATATTCAACACAACTTTTTCAGTGAAGAAAAATACACAAAGTTTTAACTATAAATTTTTACTGATCTCAGAGAAACCAATGTTAAAATAACAGAAATAAAATCAATTTAATTAACTGATAAATCTGTTACTACACAAGTCATATACATACAAATCAAAATTACAAATTCCTTAATGTTTATGCATGAAAAATATAGTTATTATGCATAAAAATATTATATCTAGATGACTATTAACAAATATTTCTTCTTTACCTAAATAAAAATTATGAGTGTGTATGTGTGTGTGTATGGAGCCATACTATCATCATCTGTGTTATAACCATATACATATTTGAAAATCGGATGAATAAAACTTTAGATTAACATAACTTTCAGTGTTTCATTCGAGTCAAATAATTAACTTAACCTTTGGAAATAAATTTCAATACTCACATCACATGTATGTTTAATAATACTACAGTTTGTAGATTAAATAATCAGTTACCTATGAGTACTTATCACTGTCACATAAAATAATAAATTAACTGAAACTGATGTTTCTGACTATTACTGTTTTTAACATCCCCCCTAACCAAGTAATTGAAATACTGCCACTATGATTTCTCATTATTATTTTTGATTAAATCAAGGTTAAAGCTTGATTAGTGCCAAGTCACACAAAAACAATCAACTAATCAACATTCGTGTTTCTAATTATTATTAGTTTCAATTATTCCAATTCACATGTGAAAATATCTGATTAGTAGAATGTAACTGAATAAAGAGCTAAACCATACACATCATAGAATGTAACTGAATAAAGAGCTAAACCATACACATCATAGAATGTAACTGAATAAAGAGCTAAACCATACACATCATACAATGTAACTGAATAAAGAGCTAAACCATACACATCATTAAATGCCATTGCCAACTGCAACTATAAACGAAAACCATCTCACAAAACCTACTTTTATGCTACAAATCATTATCAATGAAAACTTGTATTGTAAAACATAAAAGTTCTCTTTGTACAATTTTCATCAAATTAAACATAACAAGCAAGAATGAAAAGTGAACACCATTTTAAAAATATCTTCATTTCTAGAAAGTGTGAAATCTATAAAAAGGTGAATCACTCTTTTCTATAATGACATAAAACTACAGTTGTGCATAATGAAAAAATAATAAAAGTATAGCTTGAATGGAATTGTAATAAAATGTGAATAACTACAATCTTGAACAGATAGTCTTTGGTACCACAAAAGGAGCAGAATTTTAATATGTTGCAAAAGAAACTTTAAATATACAATACACAAAGAGCAAGATCGAACTATAAAGAAAGCACGAAGATAATGCCTTGGAATGCTATTAACCAACACAATCTGAACTACTCATTATATGTATATATATATATATAATATATCCTGGTATATTTTAACGATAAGTATGATTAAGCTTTGTACTTTGTATGAGACATTCTAACACACTTTTCCTGTTAATTAGCTTCTTGTCCTTTTTGTATGACAAGTGTATGAGTATCTATTTATATATATATGTACCTTGGGGTCTGAGGGTAGGCATCTTTCCTTACACACAGGACATTTTTCGTGGGGGAATCTCTTAACTTCCTTAATGAGAAAACGTATTATAGGCCAGAGAGCTGGCTTAGGTTCGAATGGAGGATCCCTATGATGGAAAAAACATATAAACTAAAAGTAACAATTATATACAAATACAATAAGAGCCACTTTTGAAACAATACAAGCTCAAATCTGTGATAAATAAGGCATTATTTGTAATATATTACAAAACACTTTGAGCCAGTTCCATTTCATTAATAAATTAAAAATAATAAACAAATTTTATTACTAATTACTTTTAAACAAGAACATTTTCCAAATGCATGTGCAAGTAAAACAGAAGCATTTGATGTTCAGTAGTAAGAGCTACATGAAAGTACACTATCATGAAATGGCTTTCATTAGTGCCTTCGCTAATGTATTGAAAAATCATGTATCTAATTATTGAGATAATAAGGTTTTTCTGGTTCAAACAATACTTATGAAGCTGTGCAGAAATCACTGAAGGGAAATAATAGCACAAAATTAGTTAAAGCAACTCGGGTATCATAACCGATTCATATAATTCTTCAAAATCAACTATTCTTTCATAAATACAGTTTTCACTATGTATGTAATTTAAGGTGATACATGATGAACACACCTCAGAAAAACATATTTTTAATTGTGTTCAATATTAAATGAAATTCATATCCTCACACTGCCATTTATGCAGTATCTCATTTATAATGCTTCAAAATGAAATCAACAAACTTCCACAAAAGTAATACAGAAGCAGATTAGAAAATGATACATGTATTAAGCTAGATATACTAAACATTTCAATCTCATTACAACTGTCCACATATTACTAGATGTGAGGTTTATTACATATCAACAATCTATTATGTTTGGTTATTATATTATCAAAAAATTTGAAATGGTTATATTTAACCATTTTCAACAATATTTTTCCTGAATAAAATAGTTATGCTATAAATTGAAACATACTAGTTCACAGACTTAGCTAGAAAGTTAGTCTTAAGTGCTATTTTTAATGAAAATCTAAAAAAAGTAAATATATAAACATGAACTGTACTAATATTCTCCAACAACAACTTTATTGTTGTTGTTTTTTAATTACAAGCCTGAGTTCATGATTTAATCAACATTAAACTCTACTTAAAGTACTAATAAAATACTAGTGACTAATAGAGCATTGGCATTACAGGTCCAAATGGGGTCAAAACAGACTGTAGCCACTAACAATCTACAAAAGCTTTGGAGTATCTCTGCTATAGTGCAAAGTACTACCAAAACACTCCATCACAACATTCAAACCAACAGTAATGAATCAAAAACTTCTGTCAGAACTTTTCTTTTCTTTACTAAAACACAATATGTTTAGAACTTGAAAACATCATCATTCGAAGCAAAACTTACTTGGGTTTTCTTTTTAGTGGTGGTTGAATGCACTGTCTGGAAATTTCTAAAGACTGTCCACAAAAAAATTTGGTAAAAAGGTCTGGAAAGTTGGATTCTTTTAATTCAACCCTGTAGTAAGAAATATAATGATTTTCTAAAGACTTTATCACGTATGATAGGGCATAAAATAAAATGTTAGTAAAAAGAAGTAAAAACAAAATCTTTTGCTTTAACATATGTACAAAAAATTTCAAAAAAGTACACACAGCCATACTGATACCTCTAAAGTTTCACTGACAATTTTTAAACACTATTTATTTTAGCTAAGTCAGATCACAGCAAATTTTTGAAACATTTTTCATTGAAATTTTGAAATGATTCATGAGATATAATGTTTGGTTATTTATTAAGATAATTAAACATGCACTAAGTGCAGGTACTTATTATCTGGCTCAAAATTAGCAACAACATCAAAACTTAATTAAAATGTGTCTTGTTTATCATTTTTTCTTCTACAATGTACCTAAATAGTAATTAAAAAGAACAAAAGTGTAACAAGAGTTATAAGTCAAAATACTTCTAAATAGGATTAAACATATTTTCAGAAATTATTTTACCTCCAGAACTCTGATTACAAAGACCCTACATCATACATACATATACTGAAAACTTGTAATAATTCCTAATCTTGCAGTTTACAGTTCTCACTAAAACATTTGTTTTGGCAACTTATAGTTCTCACTAAAACATTTGTTTTGGCAACTTACAGTTCTCACTAAAACATTTGTTTTGGCAACTTACAGTTCTCACTGAAACATTTGTTTTGGCAACTTATAGTTCTCACTGAAACATTTGTTTTGGCAACTTACAGTTCTCACTAAAACATTTGTTTTGACAACTTACAGTTCTCACTGAAACATTTGTTTTGGCAACTTACAGTTCTCACTAAAACATCTGTTTTGGCAACTTATAGTTCTCAATAAAACATCTGTTTTGGCAACTTATAGTTCTCAATAAAACATCTGATGTGGCAACTTACAGTTCTCCCTAAAACATTTGTTCTGGCAACTTACAGTTGTCGCTGAAACATTTGTTTTAGCAACTTACAGTTCTCACTGAAACATCTGTTTTGGCAACTTACAGTTACTACAACAGTGCAAATTTGTTAGTTTACAATTCTTCCCATTCTGACAGTTCCTTATTCAAACAACTTAGTGCTCCATTGACAGTACTGACAGATATTTCATACAATATGTAGAAATACCTTATTACCATAAAAATAACAAACAACTCACACATCAATAAAGCACACAACTAGTTCAAACTTTAAGCTCACAACACATAACAGTTAAGTGAACATTTATTTCACTGTTAACAAAACTATTCTTAATGTTCAATAATGCATAAGACAATTATTAAACAACAATTATTGCCACTGTTTCAAACAAAAGTAGAACAGAGTTGAGATAGTACTGTTCATAAATGCAACAACTGTATATGTAAGTAATTAAATATCTATTTTTGGTTCTTTTTTTAATGTTTAATTTATTTTTACTTGTTTATAAAGGAGTATCAATATTGTCTTTTATATCATCTAGTAATTGTAAACTGTAAACCACCAGAATAAAGTTTACTGATAGTGAGCACTGCAAGTTGGTAGAACATATATATATACGATACAACTAGTTTCAGCAATGGTTCACATTAAGTAACAGTTAGGTAAATGTTTGATACTGCACAGGCTCACCACAGTAGTATATACTTTGGAGATTTACAGTTCCAACTAGAATAAACTTTACCTGACAATTTACAGTTCCCACCACAGTATACTTTACTTTGAGGGTTTAGAATTCCCACTCGAGTATATTTTATGTGGCAATTTACAGCATATGTTATTCTGGTATTTTAAAATTTTTACTATGGTATACTTTTTTTTCTAACAGTTCAATAGTTTTGATTAAGGTATATTACATTGATTTATAGTTCCCACTACAGTATACTTTATTTTGAAATTTTCAGTTCCGTAAACTTATTCGGGCAACTTACAAGTTTCTACTAAATCATAATTATTATGCTAGCTTACAATTTTCACATCAGTATATTCTGATAGTTTCCAGTTCTCACATTTGTCAAAGTAATTTTCATTAGACTATAAATGTCCTTTTAGTTCACATTTTTTACTACAGTATAATTTTTTTCTGGTATTTCAGTTCACTTTAGAGATTTAACCCCATAGCTTCTTTCCTACTTTTGTTCTTATAATTTAATTCTCTTTATATTACATTTAATCTAATAACTTATACCTCTTGCTACCTTAAATATTTCTTTTGTTAAGGTATACTTCTCTTTACTTTCTTTGTTCTAGTTTTTATAGTCTTTTTCACACAGAACTCCCTTGTGTTTTGTAGTCTATATATCATTCTAGAGTACTTTTATTTTTGTAGTTTGAATGTTTTTGTCAGAAAACAAATCATGTCAGTAAAACATCTTTTAGTAAAGATGGTTAAAATCCTTACTCAGTGCTTTATTTTTCTAGTGGTTTCCAACTTATTGTACAATATTTTTAGATGAAGAGGGTTTAAAACATTTTCTACACAGTACTTTTGTTCTGGTAGTTGAAATTATTTCCAGTTCCTTTACAGTTTATTTTTTACTCCGATTCTCAGGAGTTAACTGCACTCTCTACAATGTAGCCACAGAATAGTGCTAAAGATAATGAATTTGTTATACATGTATGACACAGTTTTTCCCATTATTCTAATGAAAAATAATGTCTTATAAAAACCTCTTTATTCTATTTAAGATGTAAGCATTATAAAATGAAACTTAAGAGGCTAATAATCATGGAACTTTGAAATACTAACAAATCATAAATCTTTATTTTTCTGATGATGCTGTCAAAAAATTGATTTCAAGCCTCAAGAAATTCATGAAAAACTGACTGTATATTTTATTTTTCATTACAACAACTTTAACCTTTAATTTATTTTTTAATAAAATTGTCTTAATCTCCTAGCTTACTGCACCATTCTCTTTTGTCCCATACTTTTGTATTGAATTTGCAATATCTAATTCAAGCTAAAAAAAGTATCAAATAATCTTGTCTTCATTTGTCTTCTTTTTTTTGGTAAAATAAATACCAAAAACTGTTTGAAAAATATAAAAATATTGATAATTCTGGTAACATTTGTTTACTAAGAGTTTTTTAAACTGTATAATATGTGTAATTATGTATCACAGAAATCAACAGGTAGTTTTTACTTATCCAGAAAACATTTGTAGCTGAAACACTCCTTAAGAGCAAATTTTTGGCAGATGGAAAAAAAACAATTACTACTAATGATCATAAACAAACAAGTAAAATTAATATACAAGTATTTAATTACATCTTTCTTAGTTATTACTTCACACCCCTAATTATATCTTGAATGTTGCCACCTTTAAATATCACATTTTACTTGAAAACAAAATCACTCCAATCAGAACTGAATCAAATGATATATTTATTTTATACCATAAATAATTAATATTTTGGCTAACTTTAACAAAGTATTTTTTAATTTTTTTTTAGGTTTTGGCTATGATATAATTACCGTATCTGTTCTTCAGGATAGTGGTGAGGAACAGTAATTTTCACAACTATTCTGTAAGCCTCCTGGGTTATTTGAAGATAAAGAGAAGATGTTTTTTGTTTTAATTTCAGATCATCATTTTCACTTATTAACTCTTTCTTGATAGAAGCAATTTCTTCACTGCAAACGCACAGAGGGTTTTCATCTATGAAGCTGCTGACAAATTTTAAAAGCCTAAGAATCTATAAGCAACGAAAAACAACAACATCATATACATCCATATATAGTTAACGGGTTTTAAGTTCTTATATTTTCAGTGAGCATATAGCATTTCTTATAGTAATTTCAAACTGTCTAAAAACACTGTACTTTACAATATAGATAAAGAAAAAACTACTAACTGTAATGGACAATCTAGAATACAAAATTATATTGTTAGCCTTGATGACACCCATAAAAATATTCATCAACCTACAAAATAATCATTAAGTGGATTCAAACTTAAACATTGTTTGAGGTCTTTCTTAGCTGTAACATTTGATCTAGGTTCAAAGATTTGTCCTTATTATAGTCCTAAGAAATTCAATATCACCCTCTAACATTTACAGAGAATACAATCAACTTTTTTATTTTCTAATCTATAGACCACAGGTGACACTGGGGAGCATGCAACACTCACCTGGGGTTTTCCAAGGTACTTTTTACACTCCTTTTCACATACTTTACATAGACCATCTAATAACCTGGCTGCAAGTGTTTTACTCTTGAATTCTATAATCAGAGGCTGTTCAGGGTAGTTGTCTGGGAACTGAATGCATGCTGTTAACTGCTTGAATTTTGTCCGCCTGAAGAAATAAAATACTAAAATTATTTCAAAGTTTCAAACTAAGATGACAGCTTTTGAACAGTATTCCTAAAACATCATTAAAAATAGTCTAATTTCTCATGTATTAAGCAAAAAATTAAAAGGAATAAATGAATATGGTTACCAATCAACTCACTTTCAATACATGTATTTTACCAGCAAGTATCTCTAATAAAGGGAGACTGAATTACACTTTTTTCAACACCTGTTCACTACGGGTAGCATGCTTAGCTAGCTTTTGCAATTCATACTTATGACCATATACAATAAGACAGGTTTTACATTGACATAACATATGAAACTGCACATAACCCTGAATAAGATTTTCATTGAATATTAAACAGAAAATAAATTAGAGGAGAATGTAAAACACCAGAGCAGCTATAAGTTAGTATTTAATCTTTTTTTCACTTTCTATATTTTTCATTTTAAAGTTCTCATATTTTACATAATCTTTAAAATATCCTAAATAAACATAAAAATTTTTGGTAACACTGTATATTTTAATTGTAGATTTCTCTACACAAACAACACATACTTAAGCCTTGTACTTTGATGAAGGTCCTGCAGATGGGGCTATTGCTGATCTTACAGAATTTTTAGGAACCAATAAACTCACCAAAATCTCAAATGATGCTGAGCAAAACAATGAAAAGAAGAGTTGACTGTGCTTAAGAAAAACTATTTGGTACAAAATGAATGGCTTAGGTTGAAAAGCATATTATAAGGCACATGTAAAACTCAAAAACTGAACATTTATGTAAAAGTGTTATTGAACTGCATGGTGATCATTTTCCTTACATGTCAAAATTGTGTCAAATAGCTTTATGGCTTTGTGTAACAAACATTGTGATAGAACCTTTTCTGTACAAAACAGGCTCAAGACAAAATTCAGGTGCTCTATGAAGGTTGAAAAAGATACTGTTTAATGAGAATTGTAATGTTAGGCCCAAAAATTTCATTGTATGATCTCAGTCCTGCAATTAAAATGTGGGACAGTGCTAAGAACAAAAAAGGGCAAGGCTTTCACAACCATACAAACAGAGAATTAAGATAAATAAAAAAATAAATGTGTATGTGTTTTTGTATTACTTTCTTGATGCCAAATATAGAGTAAGATAATACTGACACATTTAAACTCTTATAAATGATCCAATTGCAACTTAAACCAGCATATAGACATTTGTCCATGACACTCAATTACTGACCATTTTTGGCAAAATCTGATCAGCACCTTACTGATCATTGCAAAAATTTTCTGGAGAACTGTTTAAGTTTTCTTATCTAACCTAACAAGTTTCTAACTTTTACATTTTAGTTACTTTTGCTAAACAACAAGTATAACAATAAATAAAAATAGAGATAAAAAATAAGATATTTAGCACTTACATTAGGCACTAGGGCCATTTGTACTCAGATGCATGGTTTAATAATCCTTTTTCTTTTATTCACTACATTTATTGTCCAAAAAATAATTAATCTAGCTTTCAAATATCTATTTTAGAATAGATATTTTGTCATTGTTTGACATTTATTTAGTGTAGTTCAAGAAGGATAAAATGTTCATATTTTCATTTCATCACAGCACTGGTCATTTTTTAGACTTTTTCTGCCCATTACAAAGAATAAACATATTTTTCCTAAGAACTTGTCACACCTTAAAAATACATTATCCATTTCTTGATTTCCAAGCATTTCCCTTAATTTTAGTACATAACTTAGATGAAACCTTGTCATGGCATCACATCAAGTGAATTAATCATTTACTAATGAAACACAGCTTAGAAAGCATGTTTGGATAGAACATAGTTAGGCTATCATATGACAGTATATAACAGGTTCAATTTTTATAGTTTCTGTAAAGATCCCTTTTGTTTGTGTATTGTTGTGTATGTGTGTGTTAAATTACAGCTATTCGAAAGCAAATTTTTTTATTTTTTTCAATGAGAAGATATCAGATAACTTCAGATAAGGAAAGCTTATGCAGTTCAAAAATGAGTTGAACGAGTAGCAAAGAAAACTATTACAAGTTTAACACGGTAACAGATGTACAATGTTTGGAGGTTTTGTCATCACCAAGTACAAATAATTTTTACTTTTTAATAGATATAATACGGTTTTATTGAGTTGCCATGTTTGTAAACATAAAGCATTTGTTTTATTATATTCACCAAATAAAATAAAATCATCATCAAGTCAGATAAGTTCTCATAAGTTTACTGTTTAGTAAGTATGGTAGACAACTGCATAATATTCTGATGTCTCAAATCCTTATTGAGTATTATTTGTGTGTTTAATCCTATTCAAAGAATGTATGTAAATAAATTGGTTTACTATTTCTAACTGCAATTGTGATATGTTTTAAATAAAAACATTATTACCCTTATCAATGACAGTAAATATGTTTTCTTTTTTAATTATTAATTTATTTGATTCACAGAAGAACAGTGTGGAATTACTGTATATTTCAAAAACAAGCATAATGGCAAGTGCATGGTAGTATTTAATCAGCATTAGAAATTCATTCCCAAAGAATAAAATATCCAGATTAGCTTTAAAGGAATGGGTGACAAGAAATTTTTTGGACAAAAAAATCCATTTTTCACTAAATGCACAAATTGAAACCTTCAGAAGAGGTTTATCATATAAAATCAAAAGTAATTCAAAAAGTACACTAAAATAACCAAAATAAAGTGAATGAAAATAAGACCATTAATACCACATTGGTTAGAACAAACTTAGCAATCCACTCAAATGCATCCAGTTGGAGGGACAATGCCTTGAAAGTCTACAAAGATCTCATAGATTTTTTGTTGACTTTTCTTACACAACAGTGGTGCCTCATTTAAGATGCACTGTTGGCTTAAGTTTGTAATATGTGCACTCAACAATAACTTTGAAATTGACTTGCTTCTTCCTAAAATAATGTCAAATCCACTTGGTGGCTTAGGACTTTAATGCAGTTTTTCACTCTTTGATAAAAACACAATACAACAATCCATAATTCTAAAAAACCATTACCTAATACAAGTACTCGATCAATGAAAAGATTCAGACATGATATATAAGTTTCTATGCTGAAAAAAATGCCTATACACTTTTAAATAATTCTCAATCAATCAACTTTCTTGCTGGAATATTTTAACCACTGGCCACTTTCTTTGTAACCAAACATAAGTCACATTTAATGCACTCTCCTCTTTGTGTCTGGTATAAGGAGCATAAAAAAATTATCTACAAATTTCTGAAGTACAAAACACTACAAACTGCTAAACCTTTGCAAGTTTTTCTTGACTCATAAAATTCTAGAGACCCCAATCTAAGAGCAAAGGATTTGGTCTATATGAAAACATAAAAACAAAAAAAAAACTACATTAAATTTCTCTCAAGCTGGCACATACTAAAAATAACTGCTAATTAGCCTATAGGTTGTCATAAAAATAATGTTAATGCATAAAACTCTAAAAATAATTCTAAAAAATTAAAGGAAATTAAAAAATGTTCTAGGAATATAGCTTCCAGTAACTTTTTCAACACACATTCCTCGTTTAAAAAAACAAAAATGTCTTTACTTGATCTCCACTCTGACCATGGATGGAACACAGGTAATAACTTTACTCCCTTCTATTTGATCTTCACAGTGGCTTTTAACATCTTGCAGTTCATTGGTAATTAGCGACATGATGTTACTGAAAAAAATATCAGAATCATCAATATAGTTTTGTATTTTACAATAATCATTAACTTGATTCATTAATATGTTCATATAATAGACTTATATATTAAAATTACTCACAGGTGAAGTTATTTTGCTAAAGTAATAGTTTACAGCTATAAAATAACTATAATTTATTAGACTTCTGACTTAGTGTGAAGAAAACATGGTGTGTGGTATCCATGTCATTACTACTACTAGTTTCCTACCAAAAAATAAAAAAGAAGTATTAAAGTTAAACATTATGATATTCCATATTTCTGCCCACTTAGTAATACTGTCCATGATCTGAATTAAAGAAACATTCTACACAAAATTGAACTTTTCTAGAATATAATATCATTAGCAAATTTTAAAATAGTTTTATTATATGCTAGCTATTGAAATTCAAAATGAAAGCTTTAGTTACTGCTAGCAAGTTAGATACTACTGATACTATTAAAAGTTTAACATTTAAGAGTTAAACGTTTTCCTAAAGTCGGCGTCACATCACAGTCGTGATTTTGCCTGGTAAAGTGACCACCATCTTGACAAAGGGGCAAATAACAGTGAAGCAAGTACAGTTATGACTCAAGTGCTTGAAAGGAAGCAAGAAGCCTTCCTGTGGCAAACCGCATAACTAATGTCACTTAAATCCATGTAAACTGATAATGCAACAGTGATATTCTATCTACAAATAACAAATACATAGCTAATACGAACTGTGAAACTTTAACATCATGTTTCTCAAAATCAACATTCTCATGGTCTTAACATGACAACTCTCTACAAGAATAAGATTTGTGCTTGAAATTTGGCACACAGCATCTTTATGCTATTTCTCACAATACAGATTATGGAAAATTTCATCATATCTTCCATGTTTTTAATGAATTATTAATTATTGTATAATCATCAATTACATAATTATGTGATGTCTTGAAATATGAGGGTTATAACATCATCCTTAAGTCATCCCCCAAATTTGAACAATGGATTAAGAAGTTACAATGACAAAACCATTTTTATAAGAATAAGTAAAAGGTCATCAGTATAAAGATAAATCTCTTCATTTTAATCATCTTAAAGGCAGGGAACAAATGTTTACACATGTATCTTGAGTTGTTGTTGTCAATATCATATGAAATTAATTTCTAAATGAGTTTTGTAAATACTGAAGTTTATCAAATAATGTGAAAAGTTGTATAAATATTCAAATTATGAAATGAATATAACTCTTTGTCCTTTTCTTTTTCTGTCTGGTGATGTGTACAATTTGTTCTTGTCCAAAAATATGCAGAAAAGAGTGGAAATGTGAGAGTATAAAAAAGTATGTGCTACATCACAACCTAGAGACAGAAAAACTTTAATATAAGTTCAACATAACAGCAAATGTACCTGATGATGACAAAACCTTGTC